TAGACAGTTGCTGCTGAACTGCTTGCGCCAGCGATCCTCCTCTGCCAGCTCTGCGCCGGCCACAGAGCGCTGCAGAGCGCCGCTGATGCTGCCGCCATCAATAATCAGCATGTTTAACATAACTGAAGGTATCAAACTATTCTATTTCTCAATCTGGACTACTGGTGTAAATTAAATTATAACGAAAACTGCATTCCATAGATAACACCTCAGTTTCCTCAACGACAGCGACGCCAGCACCTCGCAGCAGTGCTCTCACCACCACGCCCCCTCCCCTGCGCATCGACCCTGAGCAACGCCAAGCCAGGGTATTGGACAACTACCTCCTCTCCACCCTGTGGGCGCAGCAGCCCGTTAGAACCAAGAAGAAACGCTCCGTAAACGAACCTCTCATGAAAATGGTCGAATACTTCACTAAACACAAAGCCTGGACCGGAGCTAACAATCAAGATGTCGAAAAACTTATGCAAGAAGAACTTAAAGTTAGTAACCATCTCGCGAAACCTAAATCCCTCGAAGATCGTTCAGATTTCTTCAAAAGGAAGTTAGTTTTCGGTTTCTTGTATCCTTTCAAGAATAGAGGTTTAAAACGTCCTAAGATATCTAATTTAATGAAGGGTGATAAATTAAATAAATATTTGGAGAAATTACGTAAAAGCGACGTATTCACTAATAAAAAAGTCAATATCCCTCTGAAGTTAAGATCGGTACAAAAACGTTCGATATTAATCGAACAATCAGAAGACCCTATGAAAGATATCAGTTATTACGTGAAGAATAAACCCGGGACTAACGTGAGACCTTCATTAGCTGATGCTGTGAGGGTCAGAGCCAGCTTAGAGAGGATCTACAACACGGGCAACATCGAGGTTGTGCGACGATACGGCGCTAACTACAACCCGCTCATACCTTCGCCATTCTATTTTGGTGTTATGAAAACTTTATCGGATATATAAAATTAATACCCTGTAGATTAAAAAGCTAAATTACAGCTTATAACTATCTCTCAGAGTTGATACTTAGGCAGCCATAGTGTACATTATGCATACTAAATATATCGGGTTTTCTGGATGCGTATAGTGTGTCTTAATTTAGATTAGTTTGACAAGTCACTTCAAAATTGTCCTCTAAATTAGTTAATAAGAAAATAATAATTTTAGTTGAGTTCGATAAAATTTTTAAACGGAATATAGATAAACAGTGGTAGAGCCCGCTTTAACATCTTCGCACGAATGGGTCGGCTCGCCCGGTGTAATACCACGACCACACAGAAAATAGGCGTGAAGTGGAAGCAATTCCGCGTTTTGTCTAATGAGTGCGGTGCCGGAGGCCTAATTTTATCCCTCTCCCTTTCCACCCTTTTCTTGAGAGGAAAGGATGGGAAGGAAAAGTGGATTTGACGGTGGAGAAGACGTATAGAAAGGGAAAATTTCCTCTTTATGTGCGTCTCTTCCTCCGTCAATGAAGGGTAGGCAACGCATCTGCAATCGCGGATGTTTATGGCCAGCGGTCGCTTTCCATTTCAGTGTATTTAGGTGGCCGCTTGCTCGTTTGCCACCTTATATTATAATAGTTCGTAATAGTTAGCTGCGTGTTTGTTTCGTCACTACGATACCTGTCTATTAAGTATGACATTTTCTTTCATACAAATTTAATTCGATACTTCATATGCGTCATTTATCAAACTACTCTATCTTATTTAGACAAACTATAGTAATTTAGAAGCGTAAATACTTTCTATTGTCAAAAATTCAACTAAAACGACAGATGTCGACTTGTGAACGAGTATTTAATGTTGCCCATTAAAGTAAACATTGTAAGAGCTACAAGACCAAAAAATATAAATAAACTAAGTTAGCCAACATTATTTGACATAATTATTGTTCAAATACATTTTAGTTACTCGTTACTCGACTATTTTATTAACTTTACGTTACTTATAATATCGCCTTAATTAGTATATTGGTCGATATAAGTAAAAATATTGTTATGTGGTTTTGGTAAATAAAACACATTTGTAATTATGCAAAAAATATATTCATTATAATCTAGCGATAACCAACTTATAACCTAAAAATAACTGACATTGGAAACATTTCCCGCCAAAATTAATTGCAATACGAACCGAAAGCGACAGATTAAATATTAAAAAACCAACGATCTTATAAAATTATTTAAAATCAACGATTGTATAAAACTGTAAACGAAGGCTTCCGTTGTACTTTAACATGGGTTTCACTGACGTCACTCGAGTTCATATATCGCTGTCTCTGTTTTCGCTGTGTGAGCGAGAGGGACGGAGATAGTAACACAAGTGTTAGTGAAATTCCGCAATTACAGGTTGAAGCGAGACAAAAAAGGACGCTTTCGGTTCCCAAAATGTATAGTTATACAAGATCTCAAAAAGTGAATTAAAAATGGCCAATTTTAATAACATCAACAATGTTGCCAGTTGTGAGAAAAATTGCATGTTTTAACATACAGACTAAATATAATTATGCAAGAAAACTAACACTAAAAGAATGATTAAATAGTAAATAAAAAAACTCACTAAACTAGAAAAATAGATTTATTGTCGGTTATTGCTTAATACTTAAGTTTAAAAACGGACTTAAATTGGATTTCAAATAGTTAGTGATTACCTTTTCTTTCTTTACTAAGGAATGTGTTTTCAGTCGTGTATTTTGCCATCTCTTTCATTCTTCTTGTATATGACAGAGACAACATGTGTACATGCATTTTAATTTTTTTATTATAAAATAATGCAAAATTCATGTAAATAAATTTCTTTATGTAATCTATAACTTCGAATAAATGTTTTGTATATTTTTTTTTTATTTATTAAACAAAAGAGCAAAAAAATCAGTGTAAAATTGGTCCCGTATTTTTGTGACTTGGAATGAATTCTTTGATATTAAAAAACATCATAAAATAGTTACTTTAGACGATCCACGATAAGGCACAATTAATACTTACAAAACAATTGTTATAAAAAGATTTAACGAGTGGATATTTCAAATACAACAAACATAATCCAATAGTGACATAAAACAAGAAACACCATCTGTTAATGTTTGAACAAGGATTCCTTAAAGGTTCGCCGTACTACTGTCAATCTGACAGCTGTCAGTCTGACAGGTGTCAAGTGTT